TGCAGAAACACGGGCTCAGGTCTCTAGTTTCTAAAACTGAAAACCGTACCTCTCTATCTATTACCTATCAAAAGCTATTCAAAAAGCAACCGATGCTCTTGTATTTTGGAACGGATAGTAGTAACGAGTAACTAATTTCGTTACTTTCGTTACTCCTCCAGAAACGAAAAACCGTTACTTTCTAGAGAACTAATGAAAGTAACGAACTTAGTTGCTCGTTACTAGTAACTTAATAACTAGATTAGTTACTTCTTTACTAGTAACGAGTAACTACGATCGTTATTAGTTACAAGTAAATTAAAGTTAAAGTGCCATCCCTACTTGTCATATAGCATTTTTCATCACTATTTCTTCTTTCTTTCCTTGCTACAAACACTGTCAAACTTACTTACCCCATGATGCTTGACTTTTTGTTACACTGAATGATGTTTCTATGTATGTAAAAAAAAATTTCGAAAATGTTTGATCATTACCACCAACAAAAAACATGTACAGTGTCCACAGAATCACCATCAACAATCCATAGCCAAAATGTCCATATCCACATGCGCGTGGAGAATATTGTGCTAATATTGTGGCAATACCCGATTTCTTTGCTTCTTTTGTGGTAACATCGGGAGATACTACAACAAGTTCTGTTGTGGGTACGGAAGCATAATCTGTAGTATGTTCAACTTGTATCACATCGACAGGATCACGTCTAATACCTGAAACAAAAACGTATAATATTACTAATACGTTTATTTGTTCAAAAAAAGTAAACTAAATAAATGAAATTTTAAAATACCTTGTCGACGACGTTCCTTGAAGGAAAAGAAAAGATGACCAATAGCAATAATGAAACAGATGATAGATACAATAATATAAGGAGGTCCAATACGTGGTGATCTTCTAGTGGTGTGGATGATTTCACTTGGGCTACTGCTAATTGTACTATTCAACAAGAGTTCTTGAGTTACTCCACTACTGCCAAGAAATGGACGAACAAGTAAATTACAAAATATAGCACCAAAACCATAACCCAAATGAACACAATTTAATGGAGCAGCAGCGTGATCACCCCACATTGTTAACAATAAGTTATTACCGCCTAAAATGGACAAATAATTATTTTTCAATAAAGAATAATAGAAATAACTGTACTATTTTACCCAAATCTGTCATTCCTTGAGCTAATCCTTGGAAGAAAAATAATATAGATAATAATCTCAATGAAGTAACGAATGGTGTAGCAAATACAACTAAAATTAAAATAAATATGATGTAAAAATACTTTGTATTGACTTTTGTATTTTTCGATAGTTTAAGCTTTTAAGTAGGATAATGAAATTTATTTCACTTCTGAAAAAAATACATCTCATATCGAAACCAAAATGACAGTACACTTACCAACACCTGGTATAAAAAATCCAATAGCTACTATTAATTCACTATGTTTTCGAACTTGTTTTTGTAATACAACTCCCAGAATGTTTCCTGCCATATACCCCGCACCTCTACTAGCTAAAATTGTTGCTATACCATCTAGATTTGTCCTAACGTGATCACGCAAAATTTCCAATGTTGGAGCAACAATTTCCAAATGAAGACCCTAGAAGAAAAAATAATCATTCAACATAAAATTTGAGGAAACAAACGACAATAATCTTTTACCAATGTAATCCATGTTAAAATAAGAAATGCGGTTTTTATTAATTCCCATGGCCGAGATAGATACACATTTAAACCACTTGGTGATCCAGTTGTCATTTTGGTCGAAAGGTGCTAACTAAACTACTTGTTCTTATAGTTTTCTAAATAAATAATAGTAGGTTTAGTTAGTTGTCCGAGATCTTGAAAATTTTGATCCAATGAAGAAGCTTTAGACTCTATTTTAAAGATTGATACTTTACAAATCTTGTCTAATGGATGTTTTATTCAAATAATCATTAATTTTATATTATTATACAGCAAATCTTCTGTCACTTACATAATACGATTATTTCTTTTGATCTTCCACACACCAGTTATCATCATCTAACTGATGAAAAATAAATATCTGAAAAATGCATAGAAAAATAATTATGAAAAAAAAAAACGGGAATAAATTTGTTCCTTGTGTTAACTATTGACTGTATACCCTTGAACTATGTTGTATTGCATCCATTATTATATACTATTTGTAGCTATCTTTTTTCACTTTCTGTAAATGAAATATATTTTACTTCTCTTATCTAACCTAGACCAGGCATATAATCACATTCTAGTATAAAAAAGAAAGTATGTGAGTTTAGGAATAGATATGTTTGTATCATAAATCATGAGATGCAGCCGTTTTTACAAATTGTTCTTTCCTCTTAAAAAGAGTAAAAGAGAAAACGTAGTTAAAGAAATAGAAAAAAAAAAGTACATATAAAAAACGAACAGAAATAGTTTGATTATAACGAAAAGAAAGACGTATTCATCTGAGACGGTATACATAATTTAAACATCACTAGTTTTTTAATAAAAATTTTATTCAGTTACTGTACGTAAATCAAATACTATTTAGAATAGATATAATTTAAAAAGAGCTATATAAAGCAGAAATAATTAACGATCTAATATTGTGTTTGATGAAATTATTTTAACCAAATCCAATGATTGATATCTAACACTAGTCTGTTGGAGAACTTGTAGGAAAACAATTATATTTATCTCACTGAATACACCATTTTGAGAACAATATTGTATATTAGGATCATAGATGAAATAGAAACTTCATCCAAAAAGATCGAAGTTACCAACCTCTCACAACGCTCTATAATTTGTTCGATTTTATTGAAAAATAGTTTTTGTACAATTCAATTTTTCATCGTTATAATTCAAGCCATCAAGCATAAGGAAGGGATGATGATGCAAAAATATTAGTACTAGCAGTATTTTCGTTCTTTCTATAACGTTTGCACATAGAATGGCATCCTTTGCAATTGGTCAAATTTTACTATATAGTCAATAAAAAAGAAGAGATCAATCAACAATATATTTTTGTCTTGTTTAACTAAATTAGCAAAGAACAAAAAACAACAAAAACGAGAAAAAAAACGAAAAACGTGCGGTATCGTATTGAAATACTGATTTTATTCCATCTCTCTCTCACAGTACCTGTTAGTAATACTATAAAAAAGAATTTTTTGCTTTCTTCGTTCAATTGTTTTTTTTGTTTTTGACTGAAGAAAAACAACAACTTTTCTTAGAAAGAATAAAAACCAAGATTAACAACAACAACAACAACAAAAGAGTCTAACTTTGTTAGTATAATTACGTGTTAAAGAACGTGCATGGTTTTGTTGTATTTGTTCAACAATTTCTCACATCGAATACTATTCGGCCAGTTCCTAGGACATAAAATGATCATAATACATGAGAGTTTAATTACAAATTTGTTTTATAGAATAAATTCTATATCTAAACGAATCGAGTCAACATCCTCATCCTCTTGCTATTGTTTTATAAACATGTCAAAAGTATCTTCTTTTCTTACCATAATAGCATTGACAATATCATTATTACATTTTTTCAATGCTTTAATTGCTTTTGCCCGCGTTGTTTTTGATTGATTCATAACCAATTGTATATCAGTCTCTTCTACACCGTCAGCATCAACCTAGAACAAAGTATAAATACATACACATTGATTCCCATTACTTAAATGTTATTATTACCTCTTCATCTTCTGATTCTTCTGGTATTGTTGGTTTAACTTTTGATTCTGCGGCTGCTGTTGCTGCTTGAGACTCAAGATTTTTAAATTGATTAGCAGCAGCAATTTGAGCACGTTGAGTTAAATCTTCAATCTAGAATAAATCAATTTTTGACAACTATTTTACTGACAACTAAAAGTATCATTCATAAAAAAAAATAAAATAAAAAACAAACCTTTGCTTCACCAAAAACAATGTATGTATCGGATGCTGGTGATTTATAAACATCAGGTTTTTGAATAACAAATAAAATATTTTTTGCTTTTCGAATAGTCACACGAAGTATACCAGTAACTGGACGTAAACCTAATTTGGCCATAGCTTTTCTTGCTTTCTTTTCACTTCTTGTTTGTTTTTGTTTTGATACCATTTCTTCTTGAATACCTGTTGCTTCAGCTAATGGATGCGGTTTACCAGCTTCACCACCTTGTGCATGATCACCTTCTGTTGCCGATTCATCTGAATCACTTGATGATTCTGAGTCTAAAATGATGTAGGAAAACAATTAATTATGATCAGAATAGAATTTTTAACATAAAACATTATTACCATCTTTAACCTCTTTGAGATCTACTTGTCCTTCACTTGGTGGTTGAATTTCTTGTGCTGTTGAAGTAGATTCTGCTTGAACACTCATTATTGGCATAATTAAGATGTTTTTGTTCGTTCTTTTGACTTTCACACAGATGAAATACACAAAATCTGAAATGAAGTAGTGGATACAGTGGAAATGAAACGTTGTACGTATTATAAATTGTCTGATCTAATTCTATCAAATTTTAGTATCTAAACTTAAAACACATGAACTTTCTTTCTATATGAAATTTTTTAAGCGTATTCTGCATTCATAACTTTTACTTTAGCCTGTCGGTCGATGATGCAGATCTATAACTATTCGAAGGAAAAAAAATGTCCATCTCTTGTCATTTAATTCATTCTACAATCGTAAGTACTATCAAATACTATCAACGCGGTACTCATTCCCTTTTATTATGCACTTTAGTCTTTATATTAAATATAATACAACTTCTAAAAAATAAAAAACAACAACATCAGTTTAATAAACGTTCATATGTAACTGATGCCCAATGAAAAATATCTTGTAAAGACAAATTTTCAGGCTAACAAGGGAAGGTCCCCGAGTGTGAATCACCGTTTCGAGTGGGAGATATCCCAGTTTGTAGAGCTCGACGAGCTGATTCTAGTGGCATAAAGCATTTTTCCCAATGTTTCTTGAAGACCCAGTTTTTCAGAAACTTTAAAAAATAACCCAAACATTTTTAAATAAGATATAATTGTAGCGCGCACATTTCTGATTATAATGAGACATCCCCCAGCTCTACATGACGTTTATTTGCAAAGTTATAGAATTTACAAGAAAAGTCCTAAATGTTCATTGTCGGCTCAAAGCTACAGAAATAAGAAGAAATTAATTCAGGGCTTTTCTTTTAAATTCTATAACTTTGCAAATAAACGTCATGTAGAGCTGAGGGATGTCTCATTATAATCAGAAATGTGCGCGCTACAATTATATCTTATTTAAAAAATGTTTTGGTTATTTTTTAAAGTTTCTGAAAAACTGGTTTTCTACAAAACTGAGCCTTCAAGAAACATTGGGGAAAATGCTTTATGCCACTAGAATCAGCTCGTCGAGCTCTACAAACTGGGATGTCTCCAACTCGAAACGGTGATTCACACTTACGGTCGTAAGACTAATCTGAAATAATGTTAACAAAATAGGCAACTTCTTCATGTAAACAAAGTTGCATTTAGTTATTTTTGAAAATATAGGCAGACGCCGTAGGAACTCATCCAACAAATCAAGTTGCTTGTAACAAAAAGAAAAGTAAAGAGAAGACTTCGTTGTTTTACTATAAATATCTCGATGCTGATCTTTATCCCACAAAAAGAAATACAAATCTTGTCAATGGAACTAGAAATAACGCATCAAGATAATACAAAAATAAATAAGAAAAACGGTTGTCAGTTACAAGTTTTCAAACAACTGCAAAAAACATACTATTAAAGTAAGAAGACAAAATCACTTAAGTATATACTAAATAAATAACGTACACCTCTATGGATTCATCAATTGAATTATAATTTTGTTCATTGTTTTTTCTAAACAACCATTTTCAAATTCTAAAACAAATTAAAACTGACATGATTTTGCAGCAGAAAGTTGAACGATATTTGCTCTAAAGTATTTGATTTAGTACCTAAGTCTTCTAAAATAATGACTAGCTACGTCAGAAGAACTGTTTAGTAGAAATATTGAATTATCATATTTTCAGTTTTACTTCTTTGTACTTGTACTTGTCAAAACAACACTATAACACTTTTAAAATCAATTTTGTTTATTTACATTTAGAGAACTAGTTTGACACAAAGACTGTAACGTCTACAGCACATTTCTCAATAGTGAGCAACAAATTTTACATTTATCCTAATTTGTGTATGTTTTCAGATGACGAAAAGTGTGTGAACATAAGTTCTACATTACAGTACAGGCCCAAGTAACGTTTCTACTTTCGCTCACTTTTAATAATGATGATTTTATGCTCGATTCTAATGAAATCTTTTTCACCATTAATTAACTTTCTTTTTTGTACTTATAAGTATTTAAAAAAAAAGAGTCAATATAACGTTATGGCTATTGTTGATAGTAAATGATATAGTTTATGAAGATGTTAAAATAAGTGTGATTATTTTATTTATTTTCTGTTGAGATGAATATGAAGTATGTGATATGCAATGAAAATCTTCAATAGGATAATATCTCATATTTGTTAACAGAAAATAAATAATTGACGAGTTTTTGTTAACATGTGTTTTATTAGCTTTCGTTGCTAAATGACCTGAACGATTTCTTTTAAAAGAAATATTTCCTTAATAGAGTTAATCCATCGTTAACAACGAACTAATTTCAAGCGTTGCCCTCGTTGATTGTAAATCATCGAATGTTTAAATCCATATTATGCATGTAAATGTGTATCAAAAAGCAGAATAACATTTTTGAATAAACTACCGCATGCTGTTGTACTGTCAGTTAGTAGCAGAAAAATAGTTAATATTCAATTAATGTTCAAATGACAACATAAATAACGAACGTTTATATATAATTTTTCCCATGATACTATGTCGGATTTCTGGTATTGATCTGAATTGAACTGATACCTAAAACATAAAAATAAAATTTTTCTACTTTTCTTTGCAAAAAATGTTTCGAAATTGAGAGATTCAGCATGCTTAGCATGAGAGAACATAAATGGACATAAAATTTAATTTTTGTAACGATAGAAGGTTTATTATTTAATCTTAGCAGAAGAATATGATGTAAAGGTTATTGAAATATCATTGCATACTCATTTACACACTGTTTACTTTTTATTTCTTCGTTCTTTAGTCCTGAATATTTTCTTTTCCCATTATCACAAGATATTTCGTTTTCTTAACAACTTTTCAAAACTTTGTTATCAAATTTATTTTCGACAAATGGACACATAAAGATTGATCATAAACTTTCATAGTACTTTGACGATACATATACTGCAATTTTTCTATCGATTGATAAGTTATAATGTGTACAAAAAATAGAGATGAAAATAAACATCGTCGCAAATATATGCCAAATCATCAAGAGACAAATTTTTTTAGTACAATAGGCATATGAAACACATTTCTAAATTATATAAGATATTCGATTGCGAACACACGTTCATAAATAAAAACTGTAGTCAAAAACTATTTGTGATAAGAACTGTACACTATTTTTGCACTTGGTAACGCATTAGAACGTATATCATAGTCTTTATTGCGACTAAATTAACATTTTTTCTTTTTATCTTAGATAATCAAGGACAAAAACAACAACAACAACAACAACAACAATGTTTGAATACAATAATTTTGTTTTTATTTTTCAAATAATTATTTTTGCACAATTGAAGAGAAAAAAAAAAGTCATCAACAACACAAAGATAAGAGACGCTGTACAAAAAAAGTAGAGAGAAACACATACGCGTAAATATCGAGAATAATTGTTGAGTATTTAAAAAGTAAGAAAAAACAAAACGTTCACAAGCGCGTACAAGTAGAAACTTTAGATATACACAATGTTCATCAGCAACAAGAACAAATAAGAGATTATTTCAACCACAAAGAAACACATACACTGAAAACAAAAATCACTAGAACGAAAAACAAACAAACAAAAAAGAAATCACTGTCATTACAAAATGCTCATTTTTTAAGCACCGCAACGGAAAAGAAAGCAAAAAGTAAGAGCAACGGAAGAGAAAAAAAACAATAATAAAATCATATCTGAACGAACCGTGTATTTACCAAAGACTTTGATATTAAAATCAAAATCTTTTTGCGTGCAATGAATAGGTCAGAATAAACAACTGACACTCGCTTTGTATAACGAAATCTTCAATTTATTTAGAATAAAGTAGAAAGAGAGAAATAAAATATCTTTCGACTAGCAGCAACAATAGTACTAAAATCCGATTTCGTGTCAATATCTGACTATAAGCAGGGACTTAAAAGTTTCTCTCCTGTACACAATTCTGCTTAAACATCCACTACAGGAGCAGTTGGAACAATACTTTGTATACAAGAAGAAGACATTCGGCGATAAGCGGTTGCTGCTGTTATTCTAGCGTCTGGATCTTGTACCCAACAATGTTCAATTGTTGTAAGAATGTATTTTATGGACGAGTTTTTATACCATGATTCATGAATTTTTGGACGAATAGATGTGGATTTTTTCAAAATAGTATACATATCAGGTATGGAAGGATTTAGTTGACATTGGTCTTCGTATGGCATTTGGTATGGGTCATTGTAATCTAGAATAATTTTCTTTCTATTAATTCTAACAATTAAAAAAATAATAGGTAAACATTACCTTCAATATCTTTACATCTTGAGACAATTTCCCACAATACCAGTCCCAATGCATAAACATCACTTTGTAAAAATGCACTCGTATCAGAACTTATTGTACATTCTAATATTTCGGGAGCCATATAACGTGGTGTACCACTCTAAAATCACAGTAAAATAAAGATATTGAATATTTTAACACGTAAGTACACCTACCTGATTATGTTGATTTGGCATTAATGTGTTTTGATTTAAACATACGGCCATTCCAAAATCACAAATACATACGCTCATATTTTCTCTAATCAACACATTTTGACTTTTAAAATCACGATGTGCTATTGAAGAACGCGTTTGTAGTGATGTAACATCATTAATATCAGCTGATGAGGTAACGGTTGTTCGCATATCTTTATGTAAATAATCAAGACCTCTAGTAATTTGTTGAACAAATTCTATAACTAATTCTAAACTCAATAAACTTTGCTTTAACATATCATACAGTGATCCATTCGCACAATATTCTGTAACAATCCAATAGGTGACCGAACATAAATCAGCAGATTCCTCTCCGATACTGCCGTAAAACCTAAAAACAGAGGTATAAGACTATATAGTATATAAAAAATATTAGAGAAAACACAATGTAAAATTTCTTCTTTTCACAGTTTTAAATAATCGTTTAAGTATTTCTTATTTGTAAAACAAATAGAAAATATTCAGACTACATCATTAAGTTAGGTAAAAGATGGCAGATGACTTTTGATAATAATAAAAAACGGAAACTTCGAATTTGAGCAAATCTGTTTTGAGTAAAAATGAAAAGTACATTAAAATACACTGAAAAAACAAAAGAGAAAATACAGAAAGAACAATTTTCATTGTGAGAAATCATAACAAAAACGAGTGATGCAGCGTTGTTGGACAGTAAACTTTTAAAATGATTTAATTTCAACTTGTTAATACTACTGAAAAGATTGAGTCTGTAGTTTTGTTTAAGCATCGTTTTCTTCCTTAAAATAATATGTTATCTTTTACTAAATGATGACACATCGAGAGATAATTATAACTACTAGAAAAAATGGCTACAGTTTTATTAATGTTATACAACTAAAAATGATAGGACACATATAATTTGCTATTCACTTTTTTTGCTAAAAGTAATGTTGCTCAAATTCGAGGTATTCGCCAGGAAAAACGTGAAATGTATGAAATCTCTTATGCCATTTCATTTTGTTTTCAAAAAAACAAATTATTAAGTTTGTACAGAAAAAACTATACTACTATACTTTACAGAAAATAAGGTTTAAAAGCTGGTTGTAAAATTTATCAATGAACAAAACGTATTTTATTCTTCCAGAATACAAGTGAAAATAAATCCCTTATTAGTATTCTAAAACTTAAACTATCATAAAACACAATATCAGTTTTGTATAAATTAGATTGATATACTGTAAGGTTAAATCTACTGCTCTTAATCTATATGCTGTATAAGAATTGAAGTTGTGGTTTGTGAAAACTTTCAACCTTTTCCTTCGTACGAAGGAAAAATGAAGTTTGAAGGTTAAAGGAAAGTTTTGCTGGGTTACTAAGGTTTTGTGCTTTCTGTTTTACAACTTGTCTTTCTCTAATTGTTAGGATGTAATCTAAGGCATTGGCGTATTATGATTAATGCATTAGTATTAGAAATAGAATAAAAACCTGAGACTGTTTTTCATATTCTAGAGATGAAATCCTTATGTATTAACTATTTAAAGGGTTGTTTTAACTGAAGACAGTATTTCGAAATTCAAGGTGAACGATCGTGGTAATATAAACTCAAACTAGAGGAATAAAGAAGGATGAATAAATACATCGATCAAAATTCCATGTGAAGAGAAAACATGGTAGTAAGTTTATAGTCAATCCCATAGTTCAGGAGAATAATAACTGACACACCAGTGAGAATTGAATCATCTACTTCTGACGTCGATAAGCCGTTAATCTTGCATTATTCACTTCTTTCGCCTCGATGTGCTCTTCATTGACCGATAACCGATTAAAAGAAGAGAATTGGGCGATAGAAAACCTTATCCGCGCAGACCTTGGGTCTAAAGTGTAACTCCTCCATTCAAACGTGATGGGCTAAGATGAGGCTGAATGGAATCTATGTCGCGAGTAGCTTGTCCGCTTATAAAATATATATTCAGTCTTGTCCGTGATTTCCCGTACCCCTGCAAGCGTTAGGAAGGGGAGGGGTAGAATTTTCAGTTTTTCAACAATTTCTCCCTGTACAAACTTTCACTCTTTGATCTTTCTTCGTCAGAGGTATTCACGGGGGAGTTACAGAAAATGTATATATGATATAGACGAAACAGCTGAAGTATCGACAATACTCGGACAAAAGCATACGTCATAACGTGAGAAGTTAAATCATTTCTTTAACCTTTGAAATAATTGTGACTTACTTTAGAATATTGTCATGTTTCATGTTTGGTAAGTTATAAATCATTTTTTCTTGCTTATACAAAGCTGAACATTGAGTATCATTTCCCGCTAAAATTTTAACTATGACACGTTCTTGTGATGGTGAGATTATTCCCATATGTATTGTACAAAATCGCCCTTTTTTAATAATTTGTGGAGCTAATTGAATAGATTTAGCGAAGAGAAATGGTTCGTTTTCACCAGTATCAGGTACTGATGCGGAGTTTTGTGGATGAGTTAATCTTTTACATGCATGCCATTTATCACATAGGCGACGACGAAATAAAAATGCAATCAAACCACAAATCAACATAATAAGAACAATTCCACCCACACAACCGATAACAATTTTTGGTATGAGTTCACCAGACGATATACCTACAACGGCAGTTACTAAAAAATACGAAAAAACGTCACTAAGAACATAATAGTGCTATAGTAGCAGACTTCAAAAACTGTCAGATACTGAAACCGCTTCTAACTGCGTCTATGCAACAGGCATCCTGACATATGTCAACCTACTCATCCTAGACAAAGTTCTCAAAAGCAAACGTTTGATATTTCTAAAGAAAGAGAGATTTTGTTTAGACTTACAATTAGTAGTAGTATTAGGCCAATTATCTAGCGTGACTGTTTCATAAATAGTTGTCATATTATCAGGCCTGAAATAACAAACAAAATAGGTCATAATTTTAAAGAAAAAGTTGTACATATTTCCTTCTGTAAAATCTGATTTGTTTATCAAGACAAACATGCAAAAAGTACTAGATGATTAAACAATTTTCGAATATTAATCTAATTTTTCACATGAATTATTCTTACCAAATAATATCGTTATTACAATAATCTTTATCACAACAACAACGATAATAAGTATCTGCTGGTGGTGGTCTATATATTTTTTTCATTACACATTCATTTTTATTTTCACATGTAGACGCTGTTAATGCTTGTTCTTTATAACAGCCAATATCCAAAATACGATCAAAATTTTCATTTTTGTTCTTCTTTAATGCTATTATTGAACAGTACCATTTGCCACTTTGAAAATAAGGATTATCAGAATCTGTACAGCTACCATTAAAGTATATACATCGATCGGAATAACAGTTCGGAGTATAACTATGTTTACATTGGAGAACATGTGAAGAAAAGGACGGACGAATAATAAAACTGGTAATAGCTAAAGAAAAATATACAAGTTGAAGATTATAATCAAGAAATAGTTCATGGTGATTGCCAATAATCTTTCAAACAATAAGACATAGTACTTTTATTTTACCTTATCAGATGAACTCAAATTGAATTTTTTATTTTTTCGAAAGTACCGTCGAAGAAACAATTTACTTTAATTTTGTATTGTGCTAATGTCAAATTAATATTACTTTCGAAAAAGTCAAGTAATCTTTTACTCTACTTTATCAGGTAAAAGCAATTTTTTATTGTTTTAGATTGAGAAAAGCTTTTCAGTATATCCTACTGGCGGAAAATAATTGACTTCTTATTTAATTTATTTATTAATTATAGAAAACCCTTCTTTTTCTCACTTTTCTTTTCAAAGGTAAATTTAAATTTACTTTATTAAAGTTATAAAAGTAAATAAAAATTTATTTATACTTTTACAAAATGTAAAGTGTCATATTTGTTGGAAAGGTTAACTATCTACGCCAGTCTTGCAGACATGTACGATCAGAAATAGTATGAAAAATAAAAAATAAAATCGTCTAGACAGACATAATACTTTACATTTTGTAAAAGTATAAATAAATTTTTATTTACTTTTATAATTTTAATAAAGTAAATTTAAATTTACCTTTGAAAAGAAAAGTGAGAAAAAGAAAGAGGTTTTCTAGAACTAATAAATAAATTAAATAAGAAGTCAATTACTTTCCGCCAGTAGGGGTATATTGACCGAAAAGCTTTTTTCAATGTAAAACAATTAAAAATTGCTTTTACCTGATAAAGTAGAGTAAAAGATTACTTGACTTTTCCGAAAGTAATATTAATTTGACATTACCACAATACAAAATTAAAGTAAATTATTTCTTCAACGGTACTTTCGAAAAAGTAAAAATCAACTTTACTTTAAACAAAAGTAGAAATAAATTGTCATATAGAATCGAAAGTCAAGCAGAAAGTACAAAGTTCACGCCAATGTCTAATCAAACGTAAAATGACTGTTGTCTCATGTGACCGAGTTGCAATTTCATGGTTCATACCAGGATACTATCAAGCAAAAAAGAAATAACAAAAAAATTCTTTTTTCTCAGCTCCAACATTCATCTAATTTCGTAAAAGGCATTCAACTTCATCCTCTCACGATCTTCACATGAAATTACCTATAAGAAAAATTGTTAAATATAAGCATTTATTCATTTTCGATGACATATTTCATTCATTATTCATTGAGCGAAACATCGACATTGTCTTCCATACTCTTGATAAGGGAGACTTTTACCACTAAGATTTAAAGACAATAATGTAGCCATGATTTTGATATAATAAAATTACAAGCCAACACAAATAGAACATCAAACATATAAAATAAAAAATCACTATGTGAACTGCAAAAAAAAGTAAAATTTTGTTTGTTCACTTTTTTCATTTATGAACAGACATTTCTGTATCCACCGTGTCTCCGACCAATATTTCTTTTAGATTTTCGGTGAAATGTTTACCTGTTAAAGAGAAGAATTTAATCAAGCTTTATAAATTATTTGTGTCTCTTTAATCATCATCCACAGCTACTTTACGAGTAAGGAACACACCAATGCAGTACTTCTATATACTATTTAGCGGTAGTAAAGTGATAGTAGCGACGCTGAAAAGGATCCATTATCAGAGATATGGCTAATAAAGTCATACACATATAGACATGTACACCGATAAGAATCTCAAAACCGAGGACTTTGTTTTCTTCACAGAACTTATTTAAAAATCATCTCAACCAAAACATACTACTTGCCACTGTTATTTCCAAGTGCTGAATGCAAAAGTCTCATCGTTTGAGAAAAGAAAAATTATTACCTTTTATAGGAAACGAAGCTCAAATGCAACATACAGGTGTCTTTCTTAAAATGATGAATATTCGACCGGACAAGATATGGGTTTATACCCCACGTTCAAGTTCAATGGCACCAAATGAAGCTCGCCTGGAATACGAGCTATTAGCAATCAAAGCAGAGTTGGCAAAAACAACCCAGGTCAAAGATTCACGACCGTATACTATAGTATTTCGTCGTATTTGGAAGTAAACCCGGCCAACATATTATGTCCATCATAAACGACGTTGTTTACGTTGAAATACGACAGTCGTAACGGCTGACGTAATACGTTGGCCGGGTTTACGTCCAAATACGACGAAATACTATAGTATACACTGCTGGGTTTAAAACTATTTTTCAAAAGTTAAAACATAAGAATATTTCTAAAAAAAGTTGATCCGGTTATAACTCGAGTTGATAATTATGATTATTTCAATCTCAGTTCAAGCGTAGAATGATATTGTAGCCGCAGCATCGTGTGAACGCTCATGCTTCGGTAAATCGTATGTTGTTTTGATTATATCGTCATACGCCAATATTTCATATCAGCACGTTTTGATAGATCCAGAGATCATAATGTCCGGGTTTCATCCTAGTCAAGGATAAAATTGAGCAATAATCGATCTATTACTTTTCTTCTCTAAACTCGAAGTGAGTTGTCAATATCGTATTCATCTAAATCAGTATTTAGTGAATTAAAAACAAAATTCACCAAATTTATTGTTCTGGTAACTCCTCAATTTATACTGATAATGCGTCTAGTTTATTCTGAATGACTTTCAGTCGTTGAAGATGAGTAGCTAGTTTGTCATAAACGATATCGCCAATTTTTTTCGCATTAGGCACTTGATCACCAACCGAAAACCTTGAGAATATCAGCTGGTGCCACTTAATAATTTTTCATCATCGATACAAATAAAGTTCTTATTTGCTAAGTGTTAAACTATTAGATGATGAACCAATCTACCTGTTTGCTCTTGAACTATGTTTTAGAAACAAATGATTACTTAAGCATTAAGAATTATATACAAATATGAAGTATTTGTATATATATAGTCGTGAGATATAGCCGCGAGATATATACAGTAGGGGCTTTGCATGCACAGAAGTTCTGATACTACAAATAAATTTGCTTCAACAGACAAAGAATTTTTATTTTCTTGCATTTTACACCCCGATTATGTGACGCAAAGAAAATGAAAATTTCATAAACTAAGAACGGAAAGAATTATGAGAAGTATGATCAACTGGAGTTATAACTATCAACTCCGGTTGATAGTGTAACCATTTGAATATCCATTTGAAATTTTTGACCAAAAAATAAATTAGTTATAACTAGTTCTAACTCCAACAAGTTATAACTTAGGCAGTTTTAAACCCATCAGTGATAGTATAGGACGGTCGTAATCATGGACCTAGGAAACGATAAATTAGAAAGGAAAAAAGCTGAAAAGATCCCGTAAAAATTGCAGAATGGATTCCGTATACTAAAGTTTCGATAAAAATAGTAGAAATGATCCCGGAATAAACTAGTTTTTATATTTATTGTGCAGAATTGATCCCGGAAAACTTTTTTCTTTCTGCGAACAAGAGAATTGATCCCGGTTGACGTATGATACGAATGTAAAGACGGCGTTGAGACATAAACAATAGCAATGTGTAGCGGTTACATCTTTTTTCATACTTTTTTCACTCACATCACTTTTGACTATTACTACCCTAGTGAAAGTACTCATACGATGAGTACGACTTTACTCATAATTCGTCCATGAGTACTCATATTGGTACTACTAACAATTTCTGAGTATTGTTACTCAGTGAGTACTCAGTTACTCATGTTAGTACTCAGGAAATATTCATTCACCATTTTATTTTGCTAAACTGAAACTATATAAAGAATGTAGAATTTAGTGAAGAAACACAGAATATTTATATTATTCTTTTCTCACTGGTCTCTCTTTATATAGTCAGAGATAGACCTAAGACTTGTAGTCCTACTCTGGCTACCTGAGATTACTCCTCTATATGAAATATCAGATGAACAATACTCATGAGTATTTTGCTGAAGGTGGTATGAGTACTCAACAATACCCAAGCATGAGTACTCAAAGTCGTACTCAGAGTACTTGTTACTCATGAGTACTGTGGTGAGTACTCAGTGAGTAAAAAAATGTATGAGTACGTATGAGTACTCGTCCGGTTTTTCTATCAGAGTACTTTTTGAGTACTCACACTTGAGTACATTCACTAGGGTATCACTATTAAACCAACTATGGCTCGAAAGACATGGCTATTAGTTTTTACGTGTATAAACGAAACTGATTTATTAAGTTTTATCAAAACTCAAGGTGTCTGCAAAAACCGAGCTGAACAATTCATTGGTGGTTTATCAATTACATATAAATGTTTACAGTACTGAAAATATCCGCTATGCGAGCATGAATTGAATATAGTATATAGAAATCAGCGAAGAACTTTGGGAAAGAGGATCTTATGTGACCACTACACACGTCAACCGGGATCAATTCTCTTGTTCGCAGAAAGAAAAAAGTTTTCCGGGATCAATTCTGCACAATAAATATAAAAATTAGTTTATTCCGGGATTAATTGTGTCGAAAATATTTTTTTTCTAAATCCGGGATCATTTCTACTATTTTTATCGAAATTTTAGTATACGGGCTCCGTTCTGCATTTTTTACGGGATCAAAACAATTATCGTCCAATTAGTAACAGTGAAACTCAAATGTAAAACGAGAAATTGGCAATGCACTGCACTTGCGTGTGTTAATCGAATTGTTACATTATTGTATTCATATCATTTGCTTATCACAAACATCATCGAAAGATTCGCATGACTTTCACTACGAAGAATTTCTGGAAGCTGTTGCATAAACGAAACGACAAGAACCAAATGAAGCAATTGAGTTTCTTGTTCAAGGATTCAAATCATTAGTAGGGAAATAAAATAAATTGTTTACCTTAGAACTTCGCGACAGGGCCCGAAACAAATCAGAAAAGTCCGATTTGATTCAGACAACAACTTGCAATCGTGAATCGGTTGGATTCAATCCATTCCGATGCAAATTTAAGCTCGCTTCTCTTTTGTTTTCAAACGTTTGTTTAAAACATACTGTCTCCAGTTAGAACATATTATTTCACTCATGAGTATTATTCATGTGGTATTCATATAGAGGATAATAGATATTATCTATTATCGTGAGTCGTCTTCTTAGAAAATCGAATTCGATTTTCCAAGTATTTAGAAAATCGCTGTCGAATTTCAAGAATGTTGGATTCTTGGGAAAATCGATTGATTTTCTAAAAATTAGAAATCGCTGTTGATTTTCCCACTTTTTAGAAATTCTTTATCGATTTTCTGACAAATGAGAAAAGTCAATTTATAGAAAATCGAGCGGCTTTTCTATAAAGTAGAAAATCAACATTTCCTAAACAGTCAGAAAATCGCTGAGGATTTTATAAAAGTTGGACAATCCTTTGCGATTTTCCAGATCGATTTTCTATAAAGTAGAAAATAATTCCAAATTACAGTGTACTTAGTAGTTCTAAGATGCTTACATGCCCCTTACAAGTTTCGTGTCTGATTCTTATATAAGAACCGATGCCTAGGGTTATCATACCTGTTGTTCTTAAATCCCTACCCATTAATAAATCGAATTCTTTATTGATGAGACTGAAGAAGTAATTACAGTGTTTTAATCGAACAAAAGGGCTGTTAGTTGCTTTTTTAAAAAGAATGTTTAGCTCAATTTATTTGCTAACAGCGTACTTGCATGAGGACCCTTATCCGTAAAAATAACAACTAAACAGCTGAACATACTGATTGGATGCCTAATTACTGGAAAAATTTCACCATGGTATCCGTGCACGTTTCAATCACCATTTTTTCGCTTGTGGTTTCAACTGTCTCATAAACGGTATTTCATACTCTTTTAATGAATCATTAACAGTTGTTTGTTTAATATCACTTTATGGCATGACTGTATTTGAAAAGGTTCTAATGTTATATTGCATTGCTCGAAAGACGTTGTTCGCTCAAATTTTACCAAAACTTGTTCGACTCAGAAATACAAAATAGACGAATAGTTTCAAAAGGACAACAAACTACGCTGTTTTCGAGGTCCTGAGGCATTTTGTTACATACATACCTTGTAATAATCCTCCATGATCAACTCTATTTGTTGTAATACAATATTTTGTAAAACGAGCAATAATCACTTTTATCAAATGCTTCTTCTTTGTGCGTACATATCATAAACTGTGAGTCATGTTTTCCCAAAACTTTTTATTTTAAAAAGTTAATGGGATGGGAGGAAAAGACTAAATGTCGTCAGGGAGTTTTTTTAACAGTACCTGGTCTCAAAATTTATTCAACTTTTACTGAACAAGCTTTACAATTTTCTCGATTAGGTCTATATGAATAGATGTAAAGATTCGTGATTGAAAGTTATTGATACCAGTGATTACCTAGCCTCAACTTTTATTTGAACAAGCAGATGGAATATCAAAAATGCTAACTTAGAAATGGAAAATGAACAAAAAAGTGTTGTTAAAGTAAAATGTCGCACGAAATTTTTTTAGGGATTGTTGACAAAAACTAATTTTTTCACAAAGTTACAAATCTAATATCCAAAAGAAGTAATATTAGAGTCTAGATATCGTATTTTCTTGAAATCCGGAATAAATGTATGCTTTCAATTTTGTTAGCTCAGCAAAGGTGTTATTGCTCTCTTTTACATAAAGCTCTTCCATCATTAATAAAGTCCTTAGCGTGTGCGACATCTTTTTAAGTTGGTAATCTTCTCTTATAAACAATTGTCGAAAGCAATAGAGATGCAAATGTTATGAGTCTCTTCTACTAGTGAAAAAAAGTAGTTACAACAAGGATTAGCCACCAGTATTTACGATTAGTACATTTTCTTAGCCATTAATAAAGTGTGGCGGGGTTTCTCAGTCCGCCAACATACAGATGTCTTTAAAAACAGTACTCCTCATAACATAACTGGTACGTGGACTGCGACAAAAAAATATGCTTATTTCGTGCACTTTTTCGTTTTTTGCTCGACTCAGATTCATTGAATGAAAGTTCTGAGTTTGAACCAAAATAAGATGAGATTTCATCTTCTGTTTTCAGTTTTTTCGGCTCTGCTACATGTACGGAGATCACAAAAACAGCGCCCTCTATAGCGTAGAACAGTGAATATCTCTGTACATGTAGTAGAGCCGAAAAAACTGAAAACAGGAGATGAAATCTCACCTTATTTTGGTTCAAATTCAGAGCTTTCATTCAATGAATCTGAGTCGAGCAAAAAACGAAAAAGTGCACGAAATAAGCATATTTTTTTATCGCAGTCCACGTACCAAACCACAGACTGCCCACTAACAGTCATAAAAAAGTTAGTAGACAGATCCTGCTTTAAAGAAATATTTAAAAAATTGTGAGAATGAAATATCACGGATCTTTTTTAAGTGTTGGTGGACAGTTATGGAGTTCTGATGTAGAACTATTTATGGACAAGTTGTTATTGTTCATGCCCATCAAACGTGCAGCTGCTCTTATTGATCTAGTCATAACTGGAATAAGTTAAGAAAAGCTAAAGTGGACAGTAGTAACATAGAAAAACTTTTAATTAGATTTTATTTTTTTTAACCTTCTCTTGCAAACATCGGCCTCTCTCTCATCTAAGCTAAACTTACTTATGGCTAACAAAATAGTACTCATTTATTTACAGATTTTCTCACATAAATTGTTTTATAAAGAGGAACGATGAAAGCAGTTACATCCAGTCGGACGCAAGAAAAAGATAAGAGAAATCTTTTTATAGTATGAGGAAGGGACGAGGAGAAGAGTCCGAACTTTTCTAGAAGTATTTCTCGTAGTACATTAATTCTATTTCATATTAACTATTTGATGTACTAATTTGAATCTCACTTTACTCATAACTAATTGTCATTAGAATAAAAATAACAGAATCTCTCCTGAAAACAAATAGTACTCAGTACAACAGCCTTTACTACATGTTTCTTTAGCTTTTAGTATTAATTTTTCTCCTAGATCATTCATGACTACGCCTCATTACTCATTTTTGAATAATTAATATTATTTTTCAGAATTTCATACTATATGAAGGGTTTATCAGATATAGAAATATGACAGAGAATTGTAACTATTATCGGAATTACCAAGAGTATTTGGATGAACTTCGTCAAGAAATGTGTCAAGACGGCTTGCTTCGTAGATCAAAACATGTTCAAGAAGGACTGCACGGTTATTTTTTAAGTGGAAACGAATTAAGAACGATATATCAAACACATGATCAAGAACAATACTTACTGATGTATTAAGTCATTTTTATTGAGAATCTTGATGGTGGTCTGTGAGAGAGAGAGAGAGAGAGAACAGTTGCTTATTTGTATGCGTATCATTACCATTAGTGCTGCAAACGCTTTTCACCCAATGACAAACATAGTTTTTATATTTAGTGATAATCTTACTCGAGAATTCTCACATCCTTCAAAACTAAAACGAAAATATACTGATGTTAAAAGAAAACGTTCAACGCCGCTACCTCTTCCTATCATTGAATATCCCGTTGAAAAACCTGTATTTCGATTTCCAACATTTGATCAGCTAAATGATGCTATTGAATATCAGACAAAGCATTATGTAGGCCTCTGTCAAGTTTAAAAAACCAGTGCTAATAAATGATCCTTTTTTCAATTTCAGCGGTCAAAATTCTTTATATTTCATTTTCGAAACAAGTATCTCGTTAGTGACGTAGAAGAATTTTATCAATTCTATAAGTAAGGACAACATTACTACATGTTTAGTGTTAAAGTCATTGCTACGATTAGGTGAACACAATCAACGTTATGAAAAATTGTAGACTCGAATTTCTAGTATTTCTATTTTTAGCTCATTGCCTGATCATCATCGTTATGTTCATGAAGTTCTACGTGCAAGTACGTTAGGTGTCTACTCTTCTCTATCGCTCCCTTCGCTTTGTCCATTGTTGTTAGATGTCAAATGTAAACTATATTTTGATTTAACTTATTCTTATGAACAAAATCCAAATATTGATCCATTTCACCTAACTAGAACATTTACACATGTAAGTCGTTAGTTCATCTTCTGAGAGTAAATCAAAGTGTTCGCCTCTTTTAACTGTTTTAGTTCATGTTAGCAACAATCAATCAGTTACATCCAGAATGTGAACAATATAAAATGGAACAAGCCCTGATTTTAGAGGAAAAATAGTAATTCTAGTTTATTTATATTAGTCATTGTGGTTTTTCTTCTTATTGTTTATAGTCTGTCTGTACAATCTCCACTTACAGTACAAAATAAAGATTGTATACTCAACATTAAACCAATGGATACCGTAGATATTAACAAGTAAGAGCGATATTTACTGTGAAATATAATATTAGTCTTTTCATTCAATTTTAGTTTTAATGAGAGAGAAGCCATGCATGTGATGAAAGATGGAAAAAATTTAGATACACTAGTGAAACAAGAGCGATCAATGTAAATTTTTGCTGACAAAGAATAATTAAGAGTCTTGCTATCTCCTGTTTTAATTAATACGTAGGTGCATTTGCTATTTTAGGTCATTGCTGGAATGTCATCGTCATGTTATTATTCAGCCAATTGGAAATTTATTTCAAAATAAGCATAAAGTTGGTAGGAGAGATAGAACAAGAACTTAACTTTCTCGTTTAAAATAATTGTTTTCAATTTATTGAACTAGGTGAATGCATTATGGAGACGTTAAAACATGTTTATTATTTATTAGTAACTCATAAATGCACTGAAATTATACCGGCTACTATTCAAACAGATTTTTCATTGAGATCCACCACATTCATTCAAAAAAGCCAATCCATGGTTGACGATTTAGTTCCTCATTTATTTAAATTTGCCAAATGCCAATGTAAAGATCAAATAAGTGGATTATTATATAAAGATTTGTGTCAATTTATCGTCAAAGATGTAAATGGATCATATAGATGGTGCTGTAATTTGAGTAAGAAAATAAAGATGAACTAAAAGCACATGTAATGAGTAATATTTCTGGGTTTAGATGTTTATATTGGAAATCGTTTTAATCCGCTTTACAAATCGCAGTTTACTATTGCACAAGACAATCAATGGACACCATTTCACAATAACAACGATTATCAGTATTTTCATGCCACACTACTTCAACATCAGCCGTAAGTATCGGTAAAAGTGTACAATAAAGGTGAGAATTATGATCAAACATTTGGTTTAGAAATCCTCCACATCGAGCCTATCAATCTTCCATTGTCAAACGTTTAACAATGGATATATCTCATGAGGAATTTCAATTAAGTAAAGGAGAAGAATGATTATTCTTTTTATTCAGGAATGTCTACAACTCTCTGTTTTAGTTACGAGTTGTTCAGGCATGTATTCTTATAGTCCATTTAATGAATTAGATAAATTATTTGAATCAATTTTACATGGTCAACAAACGAAAGAACGTGGTGTCATCAAACATTGGTCATATAAGAGTGAAACAAAAATGCTGACCTATACAACTGAGAATTATCAAATGTGTCACATAGTAAAACAATATCATCACAAAAAAGCTAAATTTATGTAAGTTGCTTTTTCTGTCCTATCACCTGTTATATTCTACCTCTAGAATAAAATTTTTAGTTCTTCATCGAACAGAAGTAGATCTATTCGTTATATATTCTAGTTTTATTATTGATTTTTTGCATAATTCATGGTATCAAATATGTTCCGATTCAAAGTGTAATGGACTTCAATCGCTCGGTAAATCAGCTTATTTTATGAGAAGTATAATAATACCTTGTATCTATTTGTTCATTAGATGATTGGTTACCATTTCTATTTACTATGCCTTGGTTAACAACAAAAAAATATGATTTATCAGCCATTGAGAATATTGTAAACTTACGTAAATGATAATATTTATTAATACTATAGTATTCTTATGGTTTGTAGACAATGACTTGTTTAAGCCGTTGTTGGCCGTCGAAAAGAAGAGGATTTAGTGTAAAACAAGTTTGTGAGGAGCTAGAACAATTTAGTGAACAACAGATTCGGTAACGTTAAACGATGATAAAGGAATTTTATGCTTAATTATCCACATAAGAGAATGAGATTTTCATTTAGAAACTGTTTGGCGTATCTAGAAGATGAATTACTTATTTATAAAGATGTTGACTGTTATAGATTAATTTAAACAATGTTTAATCTAAATAATTTTATTAAGTTGATAGACTCTTCTATGGAACAGAATTAGCATTGTTTGATATTTTGAATTTTTGAGCAGCATGAGCGGATATGTGTTAAAGAAAATAAGAGACGCTCAGGTGAAAAGTAGATAAAAATAAAAATTTTGATAGAGATAACAAGAATAAACATATTAGATTTCCTTCATAAAAAATTTGTCTAAAGAGTCTTGTATTTCGACAGCGGAGGTGAACAAATCCGACCGTTACAAAGTCCAAATCCGTTGGAGCCCAAGTTAAAATCAAATTCAGTCAAAGAAATATTTAAGCCCGGAGTTGGACTTGCCCGCCTCTGGGCGGAATAGTTTGGAAGATAGTCGGATGAAATTAAGTTTACAAATCAGCATTGCCGTTGTGCACATTCATTAAAAAAAGGAAAGTGGACACCTCGTTTGACTATTGACTCGTGTGTAGAATAAACATCTATAAATATCATAGGTCAAACGACATAAAACCATCAAAATATGAATGATCACACACAATGAAACTAGAACGAAGTTTCGAGAATTCTGAAGAGCTCAGAAGAAGATCTAAACTTTAAAAAAACTCATATGTTAGTGTCGATTTTTCGTAGAACTTATGCGAATTTTATGAAAAGTAGTAGAACTAAAGGTGCAGAAACTACCTGGAAAGATAAAAAGCTTCTCGCGATGAGAAAATTTCTAAAAAATTCTCCAGCAGTGTCAGAACATTTTCATCTGTAATTCTTTTTCAACAAAAATGCTATTTTGTTTATGAATCGGATAAGATTCTTATCAGGAACTTCAAAAAAAATTCGTCTAGAGTCACTACACACCCGTCTGAATTCTTTTTCATTTAACTGGTTTTTTTGTTATGCGACAACTCAACCCTGATTCTGGCCTAGAACAGGGGTGTAATCGGAATCAAAAATACGATACCGGTATCGGTCACCAGTACAAACCTCGTACCGGCACCGGCCGGTATACCGTTGACCGATTTACCAATCGGTACCGGCTTGTTTTGATCATATTTTGCCTAAATACAAATACTTTTTCCTTGTTTTTCTTTATTATGAAGTTCACAGTGTGAACTGTGTTTTATGTTATCAAAGGGATAGATTAACCTTTTCACTTTGATTATTTATAGCTGATTTTTCACACGCTTTTTTTTACGAAAACAGCAATCCAATTCATTCTTTTAAATTAAGAAGTTTGTATAAGCCGACAAAGTGTAAGTAACTGGAATGAAATTTTAGTGGAAGAAGTATGTCATAGATGAACTGAATTTACACGACGTTTTTCGAAAAAAATCGTATAATATCGCAAAATACCAGCAATATCGGCTGACTGATTATACTTCATACTAATGCCGGTATACCGATCGACGTTATAATTCGTACCGGTATCGGTTGCACCTCGGGCCTAGGATTGGATTGACTTGTTATCGAGTCTGGTTCGGGTTACGTTTCTTAACGCGAGTAGGTCTCTATAGAAGACTGTTACAGTGTTGAAAGATATCAGATGATTGTATTTCTTCTCTATACGATTGGTTTAAATAATTTTGTTCCCGTCTACTATTCGATTATAGGTGAAGTTACTTACCTTAATCATGCAACATCTCTGAAGTGTTTGTATAATTTCCGCTATAGTGAGTGTTCTGAGTTAGGTTCCACGGGCATGACTGATAGACAAGAAAATAGCAAGAATCCTTCTTCCTAAATATGGTTTCGAATCTTCATTGTTCGAATGCAAATATAGTTAACATATCGTTACAAAGAACAATGACATGGATTCTATGTTGAAGATTTCAGATACTTTTATTCATAATGTTTTTCTTCGAACTTAAAAATAACTAGACTGACTGATACACATGTAGCAGAAAGGAATTACAGCTGTTTACCACCTGACCATTTGTAGAATAGGATAGAAAGCATAACGTGACTGTTATAGGAATGTTATATTTAGTTATTTCTACTAGACCTAATTGATGATATTTGATATTGGATGCTGAAATATATCGATCTATACTACTGCAAACTAATAGAATGAGTTATGGAAATCGAGACGCACAAAAAAAAGTAATAAAATTCATAATAACTATTCCAGCTGATGGTTACATCAATGTTCTCATTAAACTATCATCGAAAAGAATGTGTAAAGAATTTACTTTGACCGGTTGTTGTAAATGAAATTTTGATAACATCGATACATAATCTAATATAACATAAATAATTGTTGAACGAAAATGTTCTCTACATTGCACAACAAGATGAGTCGATAATCTGAAAAATAGATCATAACCAGTGTACAAATATCTACAGTTAACAAATATGTACGTACTTGTTTATCTTTCTCGTTGCATCAACAATTAAATCTATTTCACTATGACTATTAATTGCTTGACATACTGGTTAAAATGAATTAACGAACTAGTTAAAAAGCAGAAGTTTGTTTGACAAGGAGACATATCTGACGTGCAATATATGTATAATTTAAAAATGTTTCTGTTTCAACATCATTACTATAGCCATATATGTCATTTGACGGCTGGTCTAGAAACAAAAATAAATTAATCATTTCTGAACATTCACTAAATCATATCTTTGATATCAAAAACAAAGCCTACATATTTGAAAATTTTACCTCTCGAAATAGAAATTATTACTGGTTTATATGATCAAGATTATACGTGAGCAAGAGATCGAATAAATATTTACAATAGATTATGGACAAATCACAGCCTAAGACATATCAAGAAGTCTGGAATAGCAATATCTCTTTTTTCATATGGATACCCTGGTCGACTTTCCCTATAAAAACCTGAGGAGTCCATCGTATGTCGTGACTTCCCAGGGGTTTTTATAGGGAAAGTCGACTAGGATAGATGACGCAAAGTGTCTACTTCGAAACGGGAGTGGTTGCTGTGAAATGGTATCTGAGAACCTTGGGAGCAAAGGAAATATAACCCTCCTCGAGCCTCGTGGTAGTGTTTGTTTTCAGAAAAGTATTCCAAAACTTTGTGAAAACCTACATTAGGTAAGATAGCTAATCGTTTTTTAACTATTTTGACGAAAAATCAAAAAATACATCCAAGGCTTTTCTATTTCGAAATGTACAGTAGTTTTGAAAGATTAAAGCATATACGACAACGTTATCTTAAACGTAAAGTGTTGAAAACTAATATACCGTTGATTTCTTCTGCAATTTGCTGGTACAACCAAATCGATTTCAATAGCGTCCTCTATGTTGATCCAACAGCTGTGCCATCTACTTCAACAACGCTTCCACCTGGCATTCGTCCTTATTTTGGATCAAAACTATTTTTCTCCTCGATCAACATCGGTGACCAATCACCGACACACTGAATAATGATTGACGGCATACTGCATAAATATTTTTAAAAAGAAGAATATTGGTTGATTAAAATGAAACCATGGAACGAAAAAGAACTTTTATCTTAGGAATAATAAGATGAATCGTACTTAATTCAAACAGTTTCTAATTGATATTGATCTGTTCGAGTTCATCAAGTCCAAATATCTTCACACTTATAGACTACTTTACCATCCATTTTCATTTATACAGCAGACTATATACTTTCTCATTGTCTTTCTGTTCCGTCATTTCTTCAGTAGAAGAACAAAATGCGAGAACATAACTTTCCTTGCTTTCTGTAGAGAAAGAAAATGTGAAGCAAATATTCATAGAGATACGCATAGATATATGCGTATCGAAGTTCGAATACTCTAATATTTACACAAGCCTCACAAAATGTTTCTAAATTTACAGCAGTTATTCGACATGCAAGTGAGGAGAAATTAAAGCAGAACAAAACAAAGTATTCACTAGTCGATGTTCTTGAAATTATTCTTTAAGGATTCTTATATCTTATAAATTCTTGAAGAATTCTTTTTCTATGATTTTTCGTTTCAAGATCTTGCAAAGAAAAAAAATCTGACTGATTCTTTCAGGAATCATGTAACTGTCTCCTTCAAGAATTTATCAGATTTTTGTTCTTTAAGGGGGGGGGGGGGGGGGGGGGGGGGGGGGGGGGGGGGGGGGGGGGGGGGGGGGGGGGGGGGGGGGGGGGGGGGGGGGGGGG